CAGGCGCGGATCAAGAAGATCATGCAGACGGACGAGGAGATTGGGAAGGTGGCGGCAGCTGTGCCTGTCATCATCTGTATCCTTCTGGGGGCTGGGCGGGCGGAGGGTCGGGAGGGAGGCGCTCGGGTCCCCCGGCCCCCGCCCCTCGCGTTCTCCTTGACGCCCCCCAGCCCGGGCGCTCGAGCTCTTTCTGGAGTCGCTGTTGAAGAAGGCCTGCCAGGTGACCCAGTCCCGAAACGCCAAGACCATGACCACATCCCACCTGTGAGTGGCCGAGGAGCGGGGCGGGTCCGGTGGAGCCCTGCCCCGGGAGTTTGCACACCTGGGGGAGGAGTGTCTCCCTAGGGAGGGAGGTGGGAGGCCAGCAAGACCCCGACGACTGGCGCGTTTGGACTGGCGAAGAAGGGGCTGAATGTTCCAGGCAGAGGGAGGCCCCTGAGCAGAGGGGTGGGGCTTTTCCTGGCTCCGTTCTCCTGGCATCCGGGGCCCTTGGCAGCCCCTTGTAAGGCCATAGGTCCCTCTTGAATGCCGTCCTTCCCTCCCCTCTTCTAGGAAGCAGTGCATTGACCTGGAGCAGCAGTTTGACTTCCTGAAGGACCTGGTGGCATCTGTGCCTGACATGCAGGGTGATGGAGAAGACAACCACATGGACGGGGACAAGGGTGCCCGCAGGTGGGGGACCAGGGCCAGGTGTGCATGTGGGGAAGGCCAAGGCCACGGGGGTTGGGGGTGGCTGGGGGGTGGCTAAGGAGGAGGGAGACCTCTGGGCAGATGGACTGTACCTTCCCGAAGGGGCCGGAAGCCAGGAAGCAGCAGCCGGAAGAATGGTGGCATGGGAAGCAAAAGCAAGGACAAGAAACTGTCGGGGACGGACTCAGAGCAGGAGGTGAGTCGGCTCAACTTTTCGTTCTGTCCTTCCGTGGTGGAAGGGGCAGTCTTGCATCAGGCTGAGCTGGCTGGAGACCCGATCCCAGCCTTGTCTGTGACCTCGTTGCAGCTGGTGTCTTTGTAAATTGGGGGACAGTGAGGATCCCTGCCACTCCCAGGGGCCTAGGTTCCCCAGTGATGACCCCTGGTCTTTTCTTGTCGTCTCTGACCCCTGCTGTGCTCACAGGATGAGTCTGAGGACACAGATACTGATGGGGAAGAGGAGACACCGCAGCCGCCACCCCAGGCCAGCCACCCCCCTGCCCACTTTCAGAGGTGAGTAGCGCAGTGGTCCCAGGCGGGGCCGGCAGACTACCCCAGGCTGACTTGTCCCTCCTGTCCTTCCTGGCTACTTGTTTTTGCTGATGGGGACCAATTTGGCAGCTGGGAGGGGAATAACTGAGGGAGGCTTCAAGGCAGGAGTCAATTCTCAGAAGATCCTGTCCCATCCCCACCCCCTATCATGGGCAGTGGGCGGAGCCTGGGCCGGGGTTGTGTGATGAGCTCTGGGCCCTGCCCCTTTCTGGCCTTCTCTGGGGCTTGACTCCCCTTGGGATAGAGGGAGGGTTGTGGAGTCCTTGTGGAGGGCAGCGTGGGGCTCAGGCCTGACTCCCTGCCCCCCCTTTCTGCTTGCAGCCCCCCGACACCCTTCCTGCCCTTCGCCTCTACTCTGCCTTTGCCCCCAGCGCCCCCGGGCCCCTCAGCACCTGACGGAGGGGATGAAGAAGATTATGACTCCTAGCACCCTCCACCCCCCAGGCCATACCCCCTTTTAGTGGGTTTCAGTTGCTCTGGGGGGAGGAGAGAAGATAGAGCTGTTCTTAAATTTATTAAAAATTAATAATAAAAGGGAATCTCCGTGTCTGTCCCAGCCTCTGTTCGGGGCTTCGTGGCTGCCTTCCCAGCCATCCACCTGCCTTCCCTACCCAGTGCTGGGGTCAGGGCCAGGGGCGGGCCAGGAACAGCTGAATGGATGGAGGGGTCATCTGGGGAGTCTGACGGCACCAAGGAGTGCTGACAGGAGGAAGGGGCAGGACACTCTGGGGGCAACCTGCCTCATGGTGCTGTGTGGCCCTGGGCAGGCTCCCACCCTTCGCTGAGCGGCGTCTTCTCATCTGTCTGATGGAGATTGTTCTGCCCTTTCTGGCCGCCGTGAAGGGATGGGTGGGACAGGGAACAGGAATAGGCCTTGAAAACCAGAGCACTCTGTGCCAGGGGCAGTGAAGGGTATGTGGGAAGGTACTGTGCGCACAGAGTCCGATGAGATCAGGAGAACCTTGAAAAGAGTGCCTTTTGAGCAGGGCAGTGACACAGTCCGTTTGTCCGTATGCCTTTTGGTGCAGACCCAGGAGCTGTGGTGCCCACAAAACAGACATATACCTTCAGGGTGCGGCGACTTGGCGAGGCTGGGGAGGGGACAGGGTGAGCCACGTGGGGCCTCCTGTGTTAGGAGTGTTCAGTTCTAAAGGTCTAGAGCTGGGGAGGCTGTGGGTCTGTCTGTTTCTTTGCTTTTTGTTTTTTGTTTGAGTCCAGGTCTCACTCTGTTGCCCAGGCTGGAGTGTAGTGCAATGGCACGATCATGGCTCACTACAGCCTCGGCCTCCTGGACTCTGGTGATCCTCTTATCTCAGCTTCCTGGATAGCTGGGACTACAGGCATGTGCCACCACGCCCAGCTAAGTTTTTGATTTTTTTATAGAGATGCGGCCCCGCTATGTTGCCTAGGTTGGGTCTGTCTGGTTTTGTTTTGTTTTTTTTTGAGTTGGAGTCACTCCATTGCCCAGGCTGGAGTACAGTGGCACACTTGGCCACCCCAGCGTCAACCTGCTGGGCTCTGGCAATCCTTCCAAGTAGCCGGAACTACAGGCATGTGCTACCATGCCCAGCTAACTTTTTTTTTTAAATAGTAGAGACGAGGTCTCGCCAAGTTTCCCAGGCTGGTCTCAAACCCGCAGGCTTAGGCGATCCACTCGCTGAGACTGGCCAGGGTCTGTCTGTTTTTGGTTTTTGGGGTTTTTTTTTTTTTTGAGTTGGAGTCTCACTGTCACCCAGGCTGGAGGCAGGGCCACACTCCCGGCCACCGCAGCCTCGACCTGCTGGGGTCCGTCGATCCTTCCTCCTTAGCCTTCCAAATAGCTGGAACTACAGGCACACACTACCACACCCGGCTATTTTTGATTTATTGTAGAGACGAGGTCTCACCAAGTTCCCCGGGCGGGTCTCAAACCCGTGGGTTCAGGCAATTCTCTCGCCTCAGACTCCCAAAGTGCTGGGCTGACAGGCTGAGCCACCGAGCCCAGCCGGTCTGTCTGTTTTTAACAAGCTCTTCCGGTCTTGTTAACAGCACTTTGGGAGGCCGAGGCGAG